GACTTGGCAACACGGAAGTCCCTGGTAGAATAAAGAGACTGAGCAGCCAGTGGCAGTGAGGAAGTGCAGACTACCTCACCCAGCTTTTGGTGGGGGCAGATGGAGACCAGGAAGGAAGACATGGAAATTGAGAAGCTTTTTAGGATGGGAATGATGAAAGCTAAGAGGAAAAGTGTTGGCAGAGAGGGAGACAGTGAAGGTCCATGGGGAGAGGGGAGAACTGGGGAGAGGAGGCCTTGAGGAGGGGACAGTCACAGGTGCAGCGACATGACAGGCCTGGGCCAGGGAGAGGGACGCTCCACCCTGGGGGCTGGAGGGAGGAAGCAAGGGTCATGGATGAGACCAAGGAAATAGCTGTCGATGGTGGGAGCAAAAGATTGTGCCTGGCTGCTGCTGTGAAGCAGGAAATCAGATCTTCTTAAAAAGAGCAAGGCTTAAAGAGAATATGGACTGAGGAGACTGGGAATGACCTGAACAAGGACAAGCAGGACCGAGCAGGGCGGTGCGGGGCCCAGCCAAGGATTCGGGCTTGAGTTAGGAGAGCAGCTATTTATTCACACATGCATCTCACGCGCACAGAGACCATGCAACCTACAGCCCCTTGCCCTGCTCTCCACCCCGACTCCCAGGCTCCCACGGCCCCATGGGAAAAGCCCCTTCTTCTGCCCAGCACACGGGTGCCACATGCTCTAGTCCCCAGCCGCCCTTCTGGTCTCAGGCCTTCACTCTTCTCTTCAGCCTCAGACTCCCAGCAGAACACACTTTCTCCTGTGCAGGCTGCTTCTGTCTCCTGCTCCTACTTACTGAGAACCCAGGATTCTAGCACCCTTCAGACTTTGCATATAGCTTTTTATAAAACCATACAAGTATCCAGAAAGGACACTGGGGAGTGTTCTTGTTCATATAAACTAAAAGCACTGGAAATCCAGCTGAGCTGCTGCCACGATGTGCAACTTCATGAGATGCTCCTTTCCTTCCCAACTCAGACACCCCAAGAACCCTTCAGCTAGAAGGCTCCCAACCAGTCTTTGACAATATCTTGACAACCAGCCACAGAGTGTGGGTCCTCTGTGTCCTGGTGCTGAGACACAGAGGACCCAGTGTCCTTGTGTGTGTGGCTCTGCCTAACTCTGCAGTCCACCGACAGGATTTTCCTAGACCTGCCCCTGCTTCCCACTCTCTGACAAAAGCAAGTCTTGGCCAGGAGCAAAGCTCTGGGGTCTCTCAGGGAAGCGGGTGCTGGGATACAGACACACCTGTCTGATGTTGGAACCAGCTCCTCATTGCTCTCAGATGCCGATCGAAGGCATTTAATGCTTTAAAAAAAAAAAAAGCGGTGCCCACCACTCCTCTGCCTTTTTAGAGGGCTGGAGAAATAAATGAGCAACTAGCAGCTACCATAAAGGGGTCGAATCACTTGGAAAGACATTTCCCACCACGTAGAGCTTGTGCCAATGAGGCGTCACTGGTCCCCAGGCTGTCACAATAACACAGAACAAAGGATAAGCCACAGGGAGGCCAAGGGATCTTCGAGCCACCACACTCTCTACCAGAGAGATGCAGCTTCAGATGAAACCAAGTGCCAGGGACCTGGCATTCTAGTGGTGGCCAATGTGACCTACTGGGTCTGGAATGTCTTTTCCATCTGACCTGACGAAGAAGGAGGAAAAGGGGAAGAGGAGGAGGAAGAACAGGAGGAGCAGGAAGAAGGTGGGGACAAAAGGAAGAAAAAGAAGAGGAGGAGGAGCAGCAGCAACAGCATTTATTTTTTATTTTTGTGACAGGATTTCACTGTGAAGTTCAGGCTGGCCTTGAACTCATGTTGTAGCCCAGGCTGGCCTCAAACTCACAGCAATCCTTCTGCCTCAGCCTCTTGCTGTGCTGGGATGACAGACCCCAGTGTGCCACAATGTCCCCAGCCTAAAACAACAGCATTTAAAGGGCCACCTAACTTCCAAAAACCAGTCCCATATCCTCCCTGAAGTCTCCTAAAAACTAAGGCTCACACCGTTCTCTCCCAACTGGGCTGCAAAATAAAGTACTAATATATACAACAATGTCTTGTTTCAGGTTTCAAATGTCTTGTTAGGAGAAAGAACATTAGACTTAGGCCTGGGAAAAAAGAAAATCTGATTTCTACCCCTAGTTTTCTACTAAATAATTCTAGGGAGGTTATTTCTCTGAGTGTCAGTTTCTCCTCTATGGAAAGGGTAAACTATTGCTCTGAACTTATTTTGAGATTTCAGTGAGATAATACACAAAAGAACTCAGACATTGGAAAGCCTTCTCCAACTCCAGGAGTGATACTATGAAATGTGTCTATGACCAAATGTTTGTGCTGTAAGTCCTTTGAAGGCAGGAACTATAGGCCAGTTGTCATTTACCTCTGTATCCCTATCTCCATCCTACCTAAAAGAGTGCTTACCCATGGGTGGGGCTACATTTATCAGTCAGGGACTTTTCAATTTGAGCGTCCTGGATGTGGACTGTCTCCATTACAGACTCCTTTTTGTTGAGTTTAAGTGAAATATGCTTCCCTTCCCTTCTCCCCAACAAAAGATCCACTAGTCTTTTATGAGATGACTCTCTTTGGGGTATTAAATCATGACCCTCGACATGGCTGGAACATATCATATCTGAGTCATAGCAATGTACTCACATCCCTGATCCTTCTCTACAGTTTTTGGCCTTCCATTTAATTCCTCCCCAGGGAATACAAGTTCACATGAAGCTCCTAAATATATCCTAAATTCTGCAAGACCTCTGCAAATAAGATCTTATTCCCTGAGAGCACTAGTGTGATTGGTCTCCTATGTAACGAAGGAGATTTATATTTTTAGTTTTCTTCCCATACAACAACCACTATTAATAACATCCTACTTTCTCCAGAGATGATATGGATTAGACCAAATGGAAAGTTACCATGGCTACTGAACTGTTATTTTTGGTATGAGAAATTCATGCCAAGAGAAGTAGCATACATGGTCAAGAATTGGAGCTTTATTTCCGCTTTGTTATCAGGCAATCAATCCCAATTTAATTTTGAAACTCTAATTGCAATGGAAACTAATTATAAACAGCAAGACCCGAAACCCCTAATTAAAGTGGGAGTCAATAAAATGATTTGGCATTATCTTTGGGGAACATTGGCAGAATGAAGGATAAAGCAGCAGATTTCCTTCCCAGGTAAGTTAAGCAAAACAGAACAGGGAAACTCATCTAGAAGGTATTGTTAGAAACACCCAAGATAGGACTGAGGGGCTGAGGGACTACTTTGCATTGAAGAGCAGGCTGGGTCACTCTCTGTGTTATTAAGACTTTGGCAAACTGGAGTTTGGATGGGGAGCTGAGTAGAAAGAGCTTTCTTCCTTCCGACCATCACTCACCAGGAGTGGCCATGGTAGGTAGGTAGAGAAGGAATAACTCATGGACAGCTGATTAACCTCACATATTAATGTGGCCATTTCTGCACAGTACTGGGGCTGGGGGAGGATCACTGCAGACTGAATAGGGGCATCCAAACAGAATCTCATCACTCAGACCCAGATATTTGCGGGTTGATTCCTCACATACCAAATGCTGACTTGTACTTTTCTGAATTAGCAGAAGTTGGCTTATGGAAGAACTTCTATTAGAAGGAGGACCTGCTGCCAATCCCTGAATTGCACTGATTCCCTGTGGGACCTCCCAGTCTATCTTTGACAGCACTAAAATACTGTTAATGGCATGACGTCATCCACCTCAATGATCTATACTAGAATAATCCATGTTTAGGCTTGAAACCACAAGATCCTCACATCACCCTGCTGGGCTCCAAGATAAGAAAGGGGCTTTGAAGTCAGGGAAGGAGACTCAGCAATGTTAAGTACATATCCTCCCCCAAATTTCTTGACAAAAAGACACAAAAATGAACTTTGCTGGAGGGTTGGAAAGCTACTCGAAATACTCTCATCAGGTGGAAACTTGGAAGTATCTCTCCCTGCTTTTAATTCAGTGTATATTTTTCCAGACAGGTCTTTCTCTCTGTAACAGGTAATGTTCTTGAGATTTTTTTTTTTTAAAGCATTATTGAGAAAAAACAAAATATCAAAACCTTATAGCCTTTTCAGTCTCTCAGAAGGGACAACACTGCTTCAGGGTAAGAGAATTCCTTGAGAGCTTTTAGACTCCTGTTTCCCAGGAATAAATGAGGTCCACCATCACACTATGCCAGCAGGGTTTTTCTGAGGCAGACAAACCCCAATAAGATCAGTGAAAGCCTGTGTTAATCTTAATTCTTAGTGCGTCACAGGGAAAGGAACATAGAACACATGCCTTGTCTTAAAATAATGAAATGAGGTCTCTGAATATTCTTACCAAAATAGTATAGTGACATATTATGCAAAGTCACTGGCACAGGTGTCTTTTAATAAAGGTTAAAACGTGAGTGTCAAAGAAAAACACATTTGTGAACCCTGTGATGTTTTGGAAGTTGGTTATTTTTTTAAGGACATAATTTGAAAGGAGCTATTTTATGACTTCTGTACATTATATATGATATTGACCTATAATGGACCATCCAGTTAAGCAGAGAAAGGGACTCAGTTACCTCACATTCATTATGAATGCGGAAAGAGAGAGCCAGAGAAAGAAAGAAAAATAGCTGTCATACTGAGCTACTTTATATATAATTTCAACCTAAGGATACTAGTGTCCAGAGCTCCAACCTGAACTGCTTTATATATTAACTTTAACCTAAGATAGTTTCAACCTAAGGAGAATGAAGTGTCCGGAGCTCCAACCGAAAACACAGACTAGCAGCCCGGTTCAGTGCCACTGGATCTGCTTCCCGGAGAGCTACATGCACTTCAAAGGGCTTATGAAGATCCAGCCACCAAAGGTACCACCTCTGTTTTTTCAGTCAGCAAGTTGCAAACTTTTTCTAGTGCCCTTTAGAAAACTAATGCTTCCTGGGCCCTACAAAGAATCACAAATGCACTAAATCTCCAAACCCCACCTACCTTGACTCCAATCAAAGACTTGCGTTGATAAAAGCAGCACAGAGCTGCGGAGAGGGTGTGGAAAGCATTGCATTCCTTAGGCATCTTTCAGTCTTCAGTCCTGGGCACCACGCGCCTTCCTCAGGTTAGAAGAAAGGGGACATGGGACACAGCCTGGTCCCGCAGCAGCTGTGCTGCTCCTGTCTGCAACTGGCAGCTGGAGGAGTGAGTCGGCTTCTTCTCCCGGGCCAGTCTGGGACTTTTCCCCTCTGCTAAAGCCAGTTCGATCTGCTCGCTCAATTCTGGCAGGCTGGTGTCCAGCCTGCCATGCACACAGTGCCAGAAATTCTCATGTGACCGGACTTGCTTTCTGATGAAATTCTAACCCCTTTTAGAGGAGGCCTTGGGCTTTAGCTGTCCCTTAATTGGGACGTCTGGCAGAAATCATTACACCCCCGCCCCTGGCCATCTACTCTCAGGGCTGAACTGCACCATGCAATCCCCTCTTTGTGGCTTTGTCTGTTTGCCTGTCACCCTAGCACCTAGGGGTTTAAGGAAGCAGAGCAACTTGTACATACCACAACAGCCTGTTATAAGACAAAGGCTTCTTTGAAAAGGCGGTGGCCTAAAAGTGACCAGGGTGTGATTTTCCCAGGGTGCAATCCTAGAAGTCCTAAGAAACCCAGGCAAGATCCCCATCCCCATGCCTACTTCCAGAGCTGTTTGCTTTTAATTATGATGTTTCTGGCAGCCAGCTTTCAGCTGATAACACTGGCACAGCCATCACTATTGGCAAAGCAATATTGCCTTTGGTGTTTAATTAGCAAGTCTGTCAGCAAACACCCAGAGCAGCCTATGCCTTTCCCACCTGGGTGTGCAGCCTGTTGGGAGGATGGGGGCTGTGTGCTTCTGCCCCTACTGTTTGTCCTACTCCCTTCTGACCTGCCAGGCATTTTAACTATCATCTTTGTGTTAACTGCCCCCTACGCTCCTACATCCAGCACAGAACCAAGCAGGCTTCCCAGACTCCCCACTCTGTAGAGAGACCTTTACCCCATTAGGAGCCTCACAGGAAAGTAATTGCTTTTCCACCTTCATTCCAGTTACGGTGGATGCTCAACTCTTCTGGTTGTGTTTTGCTTTGTTTTGTTTTGGTTTGGTTTTGGTTTTTAAATCAAGGTCTCTACCTGTACCTCTTCTTTCTCTCCTACTATTCAAGAATTAACTTCCTGTGGTTTTGGCCACTCATAAATGGAAAGTGTCCAGAAGCTTCCTAAAACTTCACACAGGCAGAAACATGTAATGAGAAAGAAACAGAATCCATTCAGAAAGGAAAACACCAGATGAGGTATGAGAAATATTCAGTGGGATTACTGTCAAATCCTCAGGAAGCCTTGGCCTTTGGACTAGGTCAGATCTGCCTGTATAGATAGGAAATTGGTTTGTTCAGTGCCCAGTGAGTGCTCCTGTGCTTACACTGAGGGACTACAAGCCACAGACCTCACATTTATTGGCAGATGAGGAGACTCAGCCGAATATAGACACCTGACTAGAGAGGGACTTTGAAGGGCCAGTGGCCGCATGAACAGCTAAGGGCACTGACCACCCTTCAGCTCCTTCTCTGGAGGCCGGGTTTGCTGTCCTGGGTCCTGTGAAGTCTACTGAGAACCTGAGCCAAATGTTAGAAGTGGCAGCTTCAAATGGGTTTGAGCTGGATGAGCCCTCAGAGGTTGCCCAGGTGGTAGGACATGCTGTCCTCCAGGGTCTGTGTACTGTACCCATAATAAGTGTTTGCTCTTGGCTTTCATTTCTATCAGATGGGGCTCAGAGGCTAAGTCCCTCAACAGGGATGGCTCATCACTCAGGCCCATGGCCACTGGGGAAGAAGCCCAGCTATTACCTGCGAGTCTCTCTGGCAGGAAAAAACAACACCCTATGAGCTACCAACCTACCAAAAGGGGTTGGCTAAGCACCATTCTAGGACCAGCAAAAAGGGAGGAAATAGTGCCTTAAATTCTGCACAGAAATTTTGTGAGATTAGTCAGCCAAGAGCCTCTGAATTTTAAACTCAGAAAATGTATTCCTGAAAGTAAATATGCAAATAACACAGGTATGCAAATTACATGGAATTATGTAATCAAGTCCTCTACAGCCAGAGTGAAAGCAAAACAAAAGACATTCAAGTCACTGTAGAATCCCTTACCTGAGGCTTTCCTCCTTTACCCTAAGACATGTCTCCAAAATGTCCAAAGAATTTGTTCTGGAGGATTAAAGAATATACCAATCTTATTAGGTAACTTTCCCAAGCACATTTTATTTTTGCTCCACTCAAAAATAATTTCTGAAGCAGCATTCAAAGTCTTATTTTTTTCAAAATGGCCAAGGAGACTAAAATAATGTGCCATTATTGCAACTAAAGATGGTAACTGCATGAATTCCCAAAGTGCCCTTCACTGACTTGTCATGCTTTTTAAAAGTCTCTTATTCACAATGATCAATCCCCCCACATTCTCCCCACAATGATTATTCTATTCTAGTTACAAAGAAACAGAGTACCAGGATGGTGTGTCAATCTGCAGAGAACAAAGGACCAGGGACTCAGAACCTCAGAGTTCAGACCCAGGTAATGGATTACAAAGAAACATAAATAAGAGATTTTATAATTAAAGCTGTTATTCACGCAGCTATACGAATATGCTGTGACCCAGGACAGTAGGGGACTCTTTGATTATTTGAGACATGGGATTTAGAACCAATTCGGATTTCAGGTTTTCTAAACATCATGTCTTTCTGGGGGACAGAGGAGCTGGACTGATGGAATCCAGAGACTGATGAGCTAGAGAGGAGACCAGAAGGCAGTGCAGTACTCTTGGGATGCTCTCCGGTGCCCTCCTCTGGGTAGCTGAGAGGTTTGCTTCGTTGTACTAAGGGAAACACCTGTTAGGTGGTAAAGCCAGGGCTGAGAAGCCAGTCAGCTAGACTGTTGGAGGCAAACCTCATGAGCATAGGTCAAATCTTATACCCCTTACACATCAGCTAGAAAGAATATTAAGCAGGCCAAAGGAAGGTTCCAGCATAAGCACTGTCCTCAGTGCCAGTTTTTCCTGGGGTAGCTCTAATACTAACCTGCCTTATTCAGTAACCATGGAAACAAGAGCTGACTGCCAGCCATATTCAACAGACACATGCTTCCTGTTGGCAGCAGCATTGGGCTCCAGGGATGAGAGAGTGAGTGCAGAATCCTTTCTGAAAGAGTTCAGCCCGCACTAGATCAGGCCCGCAGGGCGGTGGACCCTATTTCTCACAGCACATGGGAAAGATATGCCATAGCTTATCCGCTTCTTCGTTATGGCACGTGGGAAAGCAGGCTACCTGCAGCTCCATACCTTCCCCAAAGCCACCCAAGAGTGTTACACAGAGGCACTCTCCATCACCATCAAGCAGTCCCACGGTCAGTGACACTGCTGTGGGTCAGTGAGCTGGAGGACTCTGGCTGAAGGCTGCAAGGCCCAAGTAACCCCTGCCACAGTGATGGCTCAACATCAGTGGGGTGAACAGCAGCCATGGTGAGCAGGGCAGCTCAGCCTCTTGCAGCAGTGCTGAACCTCTTCAGACCCTCAACTCAGATTCTTCTGTCTCTCTGTGTCTGTCTGTCTGTCTGTCTCTCTCTTAGTAAACAAAGCCATCTTTAATGAGCTAGGGTGTAACGTCAAGAAAATCAGCTCTGGTTCTTCTGGTGTCCAGGGAGAAGGGCAAGGTGATGAGGCCTTGCTTGGCTGGCAGCAGTGACGTTGACAGTGCTGATGCCCTCTGCAGGTTCAACTCTCTGGAGAGCCCTGGCAAGGGCCAGGAAGCCCTGGGCTAGAAGAGCCAAGTTTAAGGGCAATTGTGCTTTTCAAAGTTTCCTCAGACACCTGTCCTGTGTCATTTGGATCCTGAACAAACACAGTGCTCAACTTCGTGATTGCTCAAAGCAAATCTAAATCACCATTTTGATTTTTACTTTCAGTACAATAAATTATGAGACATTCCACACTTCCTTATAAAATTGTATCCAATGAATGATAGGCTAATGTAAATGTTCTGATCACATTTTAAGGAAAATTATGCAAAGCTATGGTTTTCAGTAGGTTCAGAGTAATACATACATTTTCAGTTTAGGATTATGTGTGTATGCGTGCCTGTGTGTCCGCACACACTACTAGAGATCAAACCCAGGGCTTCATGCATTCTAGGCATGTGCTCTATCACTGAACTACATCATCTAGCCTGATGTTTTACATTCATGATGGGTTTTTAATCCATGATAGGTTTATCAGAATGTTACCCTCTTACAGGTCCAGAAGGAGCTCATGGACCTCTTAGACACACCCTCACACAAAGATCCACTGGAGGTGAGGGTACACAGCCCTCATGCCACTGAGAAAGGAGAAGAGAAAGACTTTTGGAAAAACAGTCACCTCGACTTCAAGCCAGCATGGAGCAGCAGAAGCTGCCAAAGACAGCCTAACCACACTTTCCTATATGCAAATGCAATTTATCTCTGATCCAAGTGGGACTGCAAACTGGACTTGGTGGGGAGGAGGGCAAGCAATGCTGGCTGAGCTCCTAGGCCCTTCTGTCGTGCTGCAGACAAGATGTTCACGTACCCTAATGAGCGTGGGCAATGCATTTAGGAGTGACTGCTGTACATATCTCATCTGACGGTTTCCCTAGATTCCTCAAGGGGATGAAAGAATATGGCTGTTAAATGGTTTCTGTTCGGAAGCAGAATTGATCTGTGCAGCACACAAAGAGCTAAGTACAGTCTTTACAAACAGATTTCTCTCTCTTCAGGCCTCAAGTCCTTCCCCTCTCTCCTTCCAAATTTAACAGGTAGTACTAAAATTGTATCACCAAATGATGTGAGGCAAAATTAGGTACCCAGCCCTGATTCTGCTTTCTTACATTAACACATACAGTACCCATATACTTCTCTAACACTACCACCTATTTTCTATAATTACCTCAGAAATTTTGTATTTATACAAGCTCAAATTTCTGGGTTTTGGCATTAAGGTAAAAATAAAACAACACACCCAGGATATAATCTCATTTTCTCAAACAGCAGACTCAGTACTCTGGGCCTTAATGAACAGAAAGCCAGGGACTACCTTCCCAGATCAAAAAGCATATAACAATCGAATTCATAAAATTTCAGGGGCTGCCTACACCCTCTGAAGCCCATCAGTACCCTCCTAGGAGTCTGACCCATCCAAGCTAATCTGCCACCTACTTCCCAAGTTCCTTTCCATTCCACTCTTACTATGTAGGCATCACACCCAGAGCAATCATTGGTTTCTTTGTCATCTCAGCTCTTAGGTTTTCTCTGCTGTACACTTTGCTCTTTCCCTTCCTCCCACTTTTGATAAGTGTGAGCTACAAAAGCAGCTGATAGGCCCTGACCACAGAAGCTCTGCAGAAGCCCCTCCCGTGCGGAGTGCTGCGGAAACAGGCTGAGCAGCCACACCAGCCAAAGCAGCCACGCTCTCTCCCATCTCCAGGGCTATTTGCTCTCCCTCTTATGAGCACTCCCGCAACACAGCAACACGGCTATGAGACACACTTCTGCACATCTCTGCTGATGTATCTTTGGAACACATCTTAGTTAGAAGTAGATGGCAGAAAGAGAATCATGGTGGGCTCAAGTCTTCATTACTAGCTAGCTATGTGATGTGGGAAATTAACCTCAGGTTGTTCCCCCAAATTTACCAGAATATCATGGGTATCAAGAAAGAGAACACATACTGAGCCCAGCACCCAGCACACAGCAGGTACTCAGCAAATGTGAGCTTTCTGACCCTTGGAAAGAAGGGACTGCACACCCCTTCTCCCATGCTGCTCCCACTGGTCTCCAGGACCAATATCCTCACAAGAGGAGGGCAAGAGTCACCCATGCCTTGAGCCACTGACTAGCTCCAGCTGGTGAAGAAACTCCCGAATCTCTAAAATCAGAGATTAAAGAGATGTTTAAGAGTTTGTAGCCTTAAAATAGACTATAGCCCTTAAACCTGAAACGTGCATATTAAAATTACACATATGGTTTCAGTCGCACTTGCTCAGATGTCTGATGATCTTGTAGTGCAGTCTTTGTCATTTTAGGAGCTGTCTGTACTAACAAGCAGCATGTGCAACCGCAGTGTCTGCACATGTGGTCTGGTGGGGTGCTCCTCGGTCCAACAACTACTGATCTTCTTATGTCCCTTTCTGTCCAAGCCAACCTGACCAGAATCCTGTGGGCAACCCCTCCGTGTGGTCTGGGTAGCACCCCACCTCTCCAGTTGCCCCTGTGCCAGGCTGTTGCAGAACTAGACTTCAGCCTTCATCCTGATGGATGCCCTACTGGATGCGCCCTCCTTCAACTCCTTGTCAGCCCTCCCTCCAGGCCAGGAGGCTCTTATCCTAGGAACAAGTATTCCTCTTGTGTTTAAATACCCAGAGAACCACCTCCCACACAGCAGACTCTGTGTCTCACTGGCCATATTACTGGGTTTCTGATACCAACTATCTCTAGAAATACAGCTAGAGCCATGTTCGGCACACTATCATGGACCATGCTCTCTGCCTAGCTGCTTTCCCTAGACTGACTGACTGACTGTGCCCCTTTTGCCTATACCTTGAGCTCCTAATGGTAGGAATGGAGTGCACTCTTCCCCAGCCACCAACTCACATCCATCCAGCAAGGCTGTCAAGTGTCTGAGATGAGCAACCCGCCCACAGGGAGGGCAGGGAAGGCTGCTGAGTGGCTGGGGCGAGAGTGGGGTAAGCACAAGTGGACAAATGTGGCCAGGGTTGAACCTACCCACTCCAGCCTTGACCAAAAGGCTTATTAATCTTATCTTCTCTGTTATCAAGCAAATTCTAACCAACTGAACTAAATACTTCTATATGAAAATATCCTTTTTCATGGTCAGAAACTGACCATGGGCATTCTCATCTGATGACCCAGCTACTTCTGCATCCTGCAAAAATAATTTTGAAAATCAGTTAAGACTATGAAATTTGAGGGAGAAGAGAGGCTTCTTTGAGCCACTAGAAATCATGTACAAACTGTTACGTGAGTATCTGTTCAGTGAGGAGAGGAGTCACTGCTTGTACTCAATTCTTAATGACCTATGGGACCTCAAAATCCCTACTGATCCAGAAACTCTTTCAGTGGCCAGTGAAAGAGAAGTGAGGAAAATACCCTGGTGGGCAAAGATGTCACTAGGAACATACATGGCTCTGACCTGGTTAACATGGACACAATTTGACTTGGTAGGGCTGTGCTTGGTAAAGGAGGAGACAGCCTTGGGGCAGGGAATGTCCTGGTTCCTGACAGCCATGGAGCTTTAACCACCTGGGAGAAGAGGGAGCCCTTTCACTCAGCTGGAGGTTTACATGTAAAAGTAAACATAGGATATCTTTATCTTAGCAACCCTTCTGCAGTCAGACTTTGCGGACATATTCAGGAAGACTATACCTACCTCACCTATGTCTCTACCTCACCTACGTATGTGCACAGTCCCCAAGAGCCAGTATTTCTAGAGAGAATATTACGATGGTATCCCATTTAGTACTTGCACTAGGAGATGGGCATCACCAACTCTATTCTACATGTGTCAAGCAATTCTCAGAGTTAATAATTAAAAGAACAATGAATAAAAACAAGCTGGCTTTATCTGATGTGATAATGGGAGCATGGGTTACACCTGGTTGCCAGGAGTGCCTTATCTTGTGCAAATCCAAAAGGCAGACTTTGTTCCAACCAAATGACAGATATTCTTGGCAACAGACAGCTGGGCTGATCTGCAGTATCCCCAGTCAGAGATGCTGGATAGCTCATAACTGACAGGGAAGGACAGCGAACATACAGATGGACACTGATGTCAGAATCTGGGCACAAGGCACAGCAAAACCTCAGTCCACATGTGCTGACTGGGGCTGAAGGCACCACTTTTGTCAAATACAGAGACACGATCTATGTCTGTTTCTTTACAGGAAAAGGCTGATGCAAAGAGTGCTGTGCATGGAAAAGATTGGATTGAATGCCAGCCAGTTTCTTCACTTGCTTGATTGCTGCCAAGCAGAAGTAACATCGAGAAGATTAACATTTGCCTCTTCATGCCAAAGGTGGAAGACAATAGTTTCCTTTTGCCAGTGGTTCAAAGAACAATATACCCATGGCCTTGAACATGCACCCTCCCACATGGGTGGCAGGGCTGGGCAGAGGAAGTGACAGATATTAGGGCCAGCAGCAGGAAATGATTTTGGTAATTTTCTAGGAATGCCAGGCCTCAGGGTTGGGTTACTTATATACTGGATGTGGGAAATCTTCAAGACCAGACTGTAGATCACATGACTCAAAGAGCCCCACCTAGGAGTCCTCTGTAACAGTGATGGATCTGACAATTAAATTTGAGGCAGTGTATCCAATGCATAAATGAATCATGAGAGAGACTAGGGAAAGTGAGGCATAGGACATGGGAAGATAAAACAAAACAAAAAATCAAACCAGACAAAAAAGAAAATATTTCCCCCAAACCTACCTTATGTTTCAAAACTATACACACATGCATATACTTTCCCCTCTCTTTTCCCCTCCTCTCCTCCCTGAGTAGATAGGGATAATTAGAGAAAAATAGAGATTCTGAAAGTCCTGGAGGAAATAGCATTAATAAGACATAGAGATATATTTAAAAGCTTCATCAAATAGCACATGTATCCATCCTTGTACTGGATCTGTGAGTCAACTGGAATACCACTGAATGATCTAGGAGTGGACATGAGGCCAACCCAACAGTTTCTCTGGGATTTTCAAACCAGAAGCAAAGGAAAGAATCCGTTTGCCCTCAGACTGTGAGCTTTAACCCTATCAACCTAGACCAAGTGCCCCACGCACAGCTGATCTAACGGCATGAAGCCAATGTGCCAAGAAGCAGATCCAAGACACTGCATCCTAAAGATGCCTTCCTTCTTCTAAGGAGTCACTTCACCCTTCTAAGGAGGCTACTCCACCCTTGCCATTCCCAGTGGTAGGTTCCTTATCTCCCCTCATCAGCTTGATTCTAGGGGATCTCCTTGTCACAGTGACCTTAAAACTCAGAATCAAGATGTAATACATTGTGGGGTGGGCTTTATGTGTATGTAAAGAGAATTTCTAAACAACAAACCAATGTTTTATATGAAACATCTACATCACATGTTCATTAGTTATACAGTTGTGCTCTGAAGGTCAGCAGCAGGTGCAAATGAATGGTTCCTAGCCTATTCCAGGGACTTCCATGAAAGAACTGAATTGTGTTGAGTTTTCCAAGATAAGGCAAGCATAAATTTGTTTCTAGGAAAAAGAGGGTTTCGTGGAACTGGGCCACTGAGTGTAGCTGTGAGCTTTGCTCCCACCACCAGCAGCCATTCCCCTGGAGGAGCTACTAACCAGATGACAGCACAGCCCTGAGCCCCTAGAGGATGTTTCCAAAAGGCTATTCTGTTGGTTGGAAAACCATAGGATCTTATGTAGAGGCACTTGCTGACAAAGTCTCTCACTGAGGCCAGGCAGACTGTATTAGATGACCTCACCCAGAGGGCAGCATAAAGGACAGGAAATCCACTTCATTCTCCAAATTCACTCAGATGTTTCCCACCTTTCCTCTTAGATAGTCCTCAGGTGGAGGGAGCTGAAAGGAGCTTAGCAGACCTGGTTCTCAGTGTGTGTGGTCCTGGAGTTTTCCTTCTCCCTTTACTATGGCTCTGTTCCTGCTTTCAGTGTTTGGCTATTAAAGCACTCATTGAAATGACCAGTGTCCTCGCCCATGTCTTATACACAGCACCAATCACCCAGAGAAAATGTGGAGATAGAGATAGCACAGGGATTCTCAATCTTGGGTCTACAAATGCCCTGCAAGTAAGATACACAGAAGGTGTATATACATGTTTCTAAAGATTGTTTTTTTAAGTATTAAAGATTGAGCCCAGAGCTTCTTCACTAACCTATATATACCCCCTGCCCTTTTTTAAAAAGTCATTTATGTTTTTATTTTGAGCAAAGTTCTAAGTTTCTAAGTTGCCAAGGCTGTATTCAAACTTATGATCCTCCTGCCTCAGCCTCCCAGTGTTCTAGGCTTACAAGTTTGTGCCATTGTGCTGAATTGAGACACAGTTTTTACTTGTCATTTATGCAAATGTAGCCCTCTCAAGCAGTAAAGAACTATTTGAAGGGGCATTTGCTCTTTTATAGCTAAGAACTACATAGGAAAAGGCATGGTAGCATGTACCCACAATCCTAGGGAGGCTGAGGCAGGAGGATCCTAAATTCAAACACAGTCTGAGCAATTTAGTGACCTGGTGAGAACCTGTC